CCCCTTTTAATTATTTTTTTTATATATTTTCCAAATGATGTTTAACAGAGCAAGGAAATTTTCACAGTATGTCTGATCATATTTTTTCTTCTGGAGAAAGTCTTATTTTTTTATTTCGGCTAGAACAAAAGCAGTTTAAAAATTTTTAAAAACAATTTTAAGGACAATATTATTAGCTCCATTAAGCTTTTCTTTTTTCGAGTCTACAGAACAAACCATCAACATACAATAACTTGCTTAATTACCCTAAACTGCCTAGTTAACCTGATTTAACCTAGTTAAGCCTTTAAAAGTCACTTTAAGCTGTATAGAAGTGCCTTAAAAATATCTAGTAAAATATTATTTACTGTCATAATGGCAAAGATAAAATAAATTAGTTATTAGAGATGAGTTATTAACACTAATATGTTTAGAAATGTGGTGAAAAAATCTGCTCTCCGTTAAAAAGAAATTGGGGGAAAAAATAAACAAGGGGGTGAACATATTATGACAAATTATTATTTTGCTTACCCCATTGGCAATCTGCTTTAAAGTAAACCTAACTTAATTTTTATTATATTATTTTTAAAACAAGACGAAATGTTTTGTTTGTTTAGAAAATGCTTCCTGATTTAAGAATTTCAAGATGTTTGTTCTAGGAACAAGACAAAAAATCAAAGTAAGAAAAGCATTTTTTGCAGTGCAGCTTAATGAAGATGCTGATTTGACTGTGCAGCAGGACATGGAACGTGCTCACACTACCAAAAGTACTAACAACTGGTTTAAAGATAATGGTATCGCAATGTATAATTGGTCACCAAACTTGCCGGACCATAAACTCCTAGAGAATTCATGTGGAATTGTGAAGAGGAAGATGTGAGACACCAGACAGACACCACATCCAGTATTTCTGTGTTAAAAGTCCCTTTTGATTGGTCTTAAGTACTATTCTAATTTTCCAAGATACTGAATTTTGAGTTATTAATCATCAAGAAATAAATGAAAAGAAACAAACATGAAGCTAGTCAATTTGCCTTGACTGTACATTTCCATCATCAGAGGTTATGCAAAGACGATGCTTTTAAGTTTATACCTTTTAAAAGAAATGCATTGTTGATAAAAACAGAGCTCACTGACAAAACCATTTATTTGTATATTAAACCATGGCAGCAAAGTGTATTAATCTGTGAAAATTACCTGTAGTTTTCTTCTGACAGAGGCAGTAGACACAGATGGAGAAGAGGAGAACACACAGCGAACACACACTAAACAGCAGATTCCAGCAGAACACACACTTTGAGACAGCAGGAGGAGTGGAGGTGCTGTTCAAGAGCTCAGAACAGGACGTCTCTTTCTCAAGATGAAACAAACACAAATGAATCAATGAATGTTCATTAAAATATGTTTGTTCTGTTTGTCTTGCTTCCTGGAAAGCTCTCCAGAAACTACAAAACAACCAGCAGAAGTTATTTCTTACCAGCAAAAGAGAGACGTGTTGTTCGGTTTCCATTATTGTACACTGCAGATCCAGAGATGACGCCTCTTTCATTCTTATTGATGGAGTTTTTCACATTTGCACAGTAGTACAGCCCCAGATCAGAGACACTGATGTTAATAATGTGTAGATCATAGGAATTACTGGCAGGGTTGTGGACGAATCTGAAATGCTTAATTGTATCAAATATTCTATAATCCATCACTAAAGAGGGCTGGTTTTTATGAGAGCAGTTTCTTATCCACACAATCATGAAGCCATAAATAACTGAGCGATCACAGTAAAGAGTGATGTTTTCTCCTGCTCTGACGTTTATCACCACTTCTTCTCCAGAGATTTGTTTGTGACTAATTAAAGTAACTATAAAAGCAGACAAATAACTGTCAAGCACTTGTAATTTCACATACTCAAACACTGAGCATATTACTGAAAAATTATTTATATATTTAAATCTCAAAACAGTTTAAGTATAATTATTCTTACACATGAGTGCGATGAGAGTAAGTCGTGGCCTCTCCATGGCAGTGAGTGATTGTGAATTACTGACACTGCTGAGGGTCTTCATGCAGACCAGCGGCTCTTATCTGATTGGTTCACGTCAATGGAAAGTTTTACTTAAAAACATCCTGTGTCAGGAGGGGTTTGGCTTTCCATTGAGTTATTCTTTGATGTACAATGAACAGTGAAATATAGTGTTGTCCAATCTCAGCTGTCTTAAAAATGTCTTTGTGATCAGGCACTTGATTAACTCATGAAATTAAAGAAGTCAACAGGAAATAAAAATACTGCTCAAACCTTTCATCAGTAAACAGAGACAGATGTAGCTTGTATGAACACAGATAGAGTCACATCAGAAATGTTTGATTATAATCACTAAAATTTGTCTGTTGAACTGAAATGAAATAATATAATTGATCTTTTTCTTTGTGTTGCTGCTGTAATTGAGGGTTTTTATGTTTGTTTTGTTTAATAGGTCAAAACTGGAAGCGATGAAGGAACAGCATCTGAACATGTCAAAACAGGAAACCCACAAGCCCCGTTCAGAGCCTGTACAGTTCATCCTCTTCACATTAGTGTTTACAGTTCACTGATCTGATAAGATCTCTTAGATCATTGTCACAAAGCACAGATTTTCCATTAGGCTTTCTTTAGTCTTGTGTATTGATTAATGTGCGCGAGGGCAACTACTGGTTTAATGAGGGAGTTTTCTGAGAGATGAAGAGCTGTAAAGTGAGTGTTCAATTACAAAAAGAAACAATTATACAAACTCAGTGTTACCTTTTCATTAAGATTAACAAAACTGTATTAATTTAAAAGAAATATAATTATTAAAGCATGTATTAGAGCGTGTAAGCCCAACAAAGTTTTTTTTTAATGTAATTGCATTTAATTTTAATTAATTATAAAATAAACATTTATTAGTAATCACTACTGATGGGTTAGATTTTCAATATTCAATATTGTTCAGTAATTATTCAGCAGTAATTAAACATCTCTGTAGCATTTCCTCCTGCAGATGTGGTTCAGTCAGTTCAGCACTGCAGGGAGCTGTCCATTGTGCTGAATTTACTCCACACTAAACTCTCTTCTCACATTAAATTCATTATAAGTGTCTGATCAGTGAACAGGATACTGTCATTTCTCAACAACTAAAGAAGGTTTAATGTAGAATTTAAAAGATAATAGGAAATACAAACAGATGGATTTGCTTTATGAAAGGAAATTTTGTTGAATGATTATTACAATTTGGTTTAAATGTCGAATGTTGCACTCGTATATGTTGCATTGCTCTGCTCTTCTTTAAGTAAATCAAACCACAGTTGTGTGCTGTTAATTCTGTTCATGATTTATGGTGCATATTTTAATAAATCAGACACTTTTGCATCTTCAGTTTCTCAACAATTCTAAGTTATGAAAGTATATATATAATGAAAGCAACATTTACAGCTGCAGCGTGCACTAAATATTTTCTTACTCTGCTTCTTTTTGTTTTTGTCTAACCACAGTTTATCTCATGCATTGATGTGTGTATTGAGCATGCAAGATCACCAGCTTGACCACAAACACTTTTAGGACATTCAGTTTGTTGCATGCCTGAATGGAAACACTTGTGGTTTGTGTTCTCGCCTAGCTTTTCACAGCAACTGCAACATCACTGCACCAGGACCATCATTAAGACCAAGAAGAAGAAGAAGAAACACAATCATATAACTAAACAATTAACTTTTATGAATGATTTTTACTAGGCTTAAAAAATAGTAACCTGTTTACCTTTGACATATATTTACTACAGTAAACTATTGTGTAAAATCAGGTCGCTTCGATGCACATTATGCACCTGTAACAGACGTTCAACAGCGTAAATCACATCGAATCTTCAAATGTAATGACAAACGAGAGATGTTTTGCTAAAAAAAGAATCCGTTATGTATTTATTTTTCACATAAACAAACAAAACTAGATTGGTTAGGAAAATTCTAGCAAACATGTACAAGCCAATTTTCATTACAGACTAGGTGATAGTAATTTAGCATATTGAAAGCTGTATATTTGTATTTCACATAAACGAGAAATAATGTATTTAGAAATTTTCACCTTTTCAGCTGTGGACGCCATCTTGTGGTCAGACGCGAAAACTCGGCGCGTGAATTGTTTTGTGCTTTCTAGCCGTTAAAAGTACACAAAGTCCCTTAGAAAACCTTCACATTCATCGAAAATATCGAAACCATTAATACAATTTATTAATATTAATAATTTTATTAAAACAAGAGCAAACGAAAAGTACATAAATATGACTGTACCGTACCAGATGATATCTACGTACGGTCATGTGATCTGAAATGGTGCGTAGACTAAGAACTGGTGAGCGATTTAATTTACTTTATAATATTTACAATAATAAACTATTTTGAACTTATACTTATATTTCTAATATCTTCATGAGCAGTTAACACTGTATTTTATTTACATTGTTTGAGCCACTAATAAAAAATCTCCGAATATTTAATTATTTTAATTTAATTAATTGCTAAATAGCTGTACATTTTACAAAGTCAAACCTTGTCAAACGAATTCTGCTCATTTATCATAATTACAGTTTCGTGAAATATAAATTAATTGATTTAAAGTCACTGTTATTGTTATATTACCACTACTATTATTATTACTACTATTATTATTATTATTATTATTATTATTATTATTATTATTATTATTATTATTAACTATTATTTTTATGCTGAAATTAGATGTTTACATAATTCAGATTAGCTATTCAAATTGTGGTTGCTATAGCAACGCGTGTTATGATTTGACTCCATATATAAACACCGAGACTCGCCGCTATCTGTTGATTGAGGAGAGGCGAATTTCTGAGACATTTGCTGAGGATTACTGTGCTGATACTGCGATTCTTCAAGGAGACCAGTGGATTTCTGACAGAAGACTTTTATTTTATAAGGAGATCGACGCTCAGAGCTGAGATTATTCCTTTTGACACGTTTTGTTGCTCTTTTGTTGTGTTTATTTTGATTTTGATCTTGTTTTTATTGTTTTTATTGACATTTTTATTGATATTTGATCTTTGTTCTTGTTTTCAGGTTTGCTGGAGTTTGGAGGAGTTTGTCAGATGGGTGAAAACCGCAGTGAGTGTTTTAGTTTTTATTTGTTTATGATCAATCATGATATGATGTTGTGTAATGTTTGGGGAAATGTGATGTAAATAAACTGGTACAAATGAACCCATTTCAACACAACTGTTCCCCGATATAAGTGATCAGATGTCTTTTATTCTCTGTAGATGCAGCTACTAAAGTTAATTGTTGATTAATTCTTATAATCTTATAATAAACGTGATATGTTGTTGTTGTTGTCGTTGTCTCAGGCCGCTCCAGATCCAGGAGTTCTGCTTTCATCCAGGCAGCTGTTCAGGACGTCAGGACACATGATGGTGATGGTGAAACCCAGACCGTGAGCCAAGAGCTTGATGGATTTCTCGCACCTCTGCCTTCCCTGTTGGCCAAATCTGTGTCCACAGATCAGGGTAACAGGAAGAGGAAGCGGCAGAGCGGCAGCCAGCAAACACCAGAAGATGAACGTCCGTCCACCTCATCTAGAAGAGCTCTCAAACGCTCTCGCAGAGGTCAGAATGGCTTATTGAAGAAGTGATGATGATGTTTCAGTAATGCTCTTTTACAGTTTTCTCTACTGCTGCATGTTTTCTTTGAACACACATTTCTACTGCTCCTCTGTGTTGCAGACGCGTATGCAAAGGGCCCACTGCTGGGAGACGGTGGATTTGGCTCTGTGTTTGCTGGGATGCGCAGGTCTGATGGACTGCCAGTAAGTCGTTTTCTCCGCTCTTCATTCAAACAGCCTTTAGAAATCCTGATCTCAGTAAATGTGATGTGTGAGGATCAGGCAGGTGTGATTTATTATGCTTTATCTGTCTACAGGTCGCCATCAAGTATGTGTCTAAAGAGCGGACACAGAGGAGACTGAGAGTTGTGAGTTCAGTGTGAACCTGTTGTTGTGTTTGATGTTTCATTGGGTTCTGAATCCAATCGTTTGTCCTGCAGGAAGGTCAGGGTCGGCTGCCGCTGGAAGTGGCACTGATGACCCGCGTCAATTCAGCTCCTGCCTGCCCCAACGTCCTGCAGCTGCTAGACTGGTTTGACCGTCCCAGACGCTACATCCTGATCCTGGAGCGTCCGGATCCCTGCCAAGACCTCCAGAGCTTCTGTGAGGAGAACGGCTGTCTGGATGAGGGTCTGGCCAAGAAAGTGCTGGTGCAGCTGATCGCGGCTCTGAAACACTGCGAGAGCCGCGGAGTCCTGCACCGGGACGTCAAGCCAGAGAACCTGCTGATCTCCACAGAGTCCCAGGACATCAAGCTGCTGGACTTCGGCTGTGGAGATCTGCTCAAGCGCTCGGCCTACAAATACTTCGCAGGTGGGTTTGTGTTGCAGAAGGAAACACTCTGTGGATGTTTGTGAGCTTTTGATGATCCACCAAAGGGAATTTGTGTGTGCTGGAGTGTTTTGAACGGGTGTTTGTGTCTCCTTGTGTCTCTCAGGAACTATTCAATACGCTCCACCTGAGTGGTTCTGCAGACAGCGCTACCATGCGGGTCCAGCTACGGTGTGGTCAGTAGGAGTGACCCTCTTCAACATCCTGTGCAACCGTTTCCCCTTCGGAGGCTCACTGAGGGTCACGTCCAGGAGCAAACTGACCTTCCCCATAACTCTGTCAACAGGTAAGAGACTCACTGAGAGATCAGCAGAAGTGTGTTGCTCTGTGTTTCTGAACACGGTGTTGTGTGTATCAGAGTGCCGTCAGCTGATTGGCTGGTGTCTCAGTCCAGCGGCGGCTGATCGGCCCAGTTTGGACGATATTGAGCGCCATCCCTGGTTACAGTGAACAGGTGGCCAGTGACTTGACACTTATCTGAGTGACGCACTCATGGCTTTGATTGTGTTGTTAGGGTCAGTCTGGATTAATGATCTTAATGATTTGTGTAGGGTGAGCAGGAGTCACACAGGAAGTGCAGAGAACTGCTTCCTGATCACCTGCAGAATGAGGAGTGGGCATTAACTAATGGCCGACTCACCCAGGGCCGGGGCCCCTTTACCTGCACTAAGCCACCGCTTCAGACGACTTTAATGTTAATAGGGATTTTAATAATAAACGTATTCTTTAGACAAATAATCCAGGTGTAGTGTCTTCCTAGAGTGACTGGAGAGAGCTCAAATAAAGGGAGAGTTCACACAGAAATCCAGATTTACTCACTGTTTACTCAAACTCAAGTGGTTTCAGATCTTTATGAGTTTGCACAAAAGAAGATATTTTGAAGAAAGCAGTAAGTCAGACATTCATGCCTCACACACATTTATACATTCATATTCTTAACAATCAACACTGCTGTTTAAATCAGACGCAGATGCCAGAACATTGTCATTAACACTCTTTTGAATCATATTTCTACTAAAGAACAATGACTTTAGTTTACTCTACTTTACATTCTGCTGGTTCTGACATTAGAATAAATACTGAAGTCTGAACTCTGAGCTCTTTCATTCCTCTGCCTTTGTTGCTGTGTGGACGGCATGTCTAATGAACCATAACACACTTCATCACCAGCCTGAAACAGAATATATTTAATTAAAATAATAAACAAATAAATAAACAAATAAATATATTACATTATATTGATGTAATTTATGTTGCTGCTAAACTATTGCAAATAAAATATATTTAAAATTATTCTCAAAATGTGCTCATACCTCAACATGTCTGTTCTCAGCCCCATAACCTACAGAAAATTAACAAAAGATAAGAATAATTTACATTTGGTTCATTATGAAATCTAAGGCAGGCAGTCTAAAGCAATAATAAAATTTAGCCACATGAAAAGTGTTCAGGACAAAACATGTTTACCTGTAGTTTTCTTCTGACAGAGGCAGTAGACGCAGATGGAGAAGAGGAGAACACACACCGAACACACACTGAACAGCAGATTCCAGCAGAAAACACACTCTGATGCAGGTGATGTGGAGGTGCTGTTAAACCGTTCAGCACAAGGAGACTCTTGCTCTAAAATGAACAACAGACCATTATTAAAGTGAATATATATTTAGTTATTATATTCATTTTATTTTATCTTTACTGATTACACACAATAATGAAAAATATGAGTTTAACACGGATGAATTTGCTAAAAGTGGTTAGAAAATCAGAAGTTAAAGATTCTAATATAAAAATACACTATAAATTATCGTTTTACACTATATAATTAATTTTCTGTTAATTTATTTCAAAATATTATTAGAAACTAAGATACACTTAAATTAATTTTAAACAGACTTATTTTACTAATTTATTTTATAAATTTACATTATTTCTGTATTTATACTTGGACTATGGCTGCAGGATTTATTTGCAGAACTTTGCATTAATTATCGTTAAGATTCATTAAAATAATATTAAAATAATAAAGCTTTAGGTGAACATGTAGACTTATCATTAAAGCACAGCTATATTATGAAGAGATAAACTATAATTGACACTATTATTATAATAAATGACACTATAATTTACACTGTAGATGTTTGCATGTCTCTTCATCAGCTGTATTAGAAACACATTTAAAGGATCTGACTACACAAAACAAAGCAATGAAAACAGCAGTTGTTTCTCACCCAAGACAGACAGTCTGCTCGTCTTGTTTCCATATTCATACTCAATGTTTGGTTTGATTCCTCGTTCATCTTTATATATTTTTGTTTCTCTTTTCCCACAGTAGTAAAGTCCCTCATCAGAGACACTGACATTCTCTATATGCAGATCATAGGAGTTACTGGAGCTGTTGGGCAGAAAACTGAAGCGTGGAAACGTCTCCTTGAAGAGTGTTGAGCGATCTATTGACAGAGATGGCTGATTCTCATGTGAGCAGTTTCTCATCCAAATAATGTCTGATCCAAAAGGTAAAGCGCAGTAGAGAGTGACGCTTTCTCCTGGTTTAACTCTCATGTCCACTTCTGTCCCAAACACTTTCTGCTCTTCACACAACCAAACACCTGCAGAACAAACGCAAGAGTGTGTATTAAATCTCTAGCACATCATCAAGAATACATCATGACATTCAAACACAGAAATATTGACTCACACAGAAGTATGAGGACTGTAAGTCTCGCTCGCTCCATCTCAGAGACTGTGAATGTGAGAGTCTTCAGCTGCGGTGTGAAGGGTCCGCTTCATTGTGGTGGGAGGGATCTCTGTGGAAGAGCTCTGAATCTTTATGCTGTTGTTTTGTTTTTAGGGATATAATCTGGTCTGTTTCCTCTCATCTGTTCCTTTTAAAAACACTTTAAAAGCTCTTTTAGATGTTTAAGTTTAATAATAAAATGCAAGAGTGAATTCAGTTTCATAAATTGTTGGGACTTTTGTTTTGGACGATGTGATGTTTAATGTTGTGATGGAGATGACCTGAAGTGTTGAGCGTCTTCATGAGTTTCTTGTTTGGCATCGTTCATCTACATGCTGATTGTTTTCTTTGGCTTCTAAACCTCCAGAATGAATGTCTTTACTCAAGGTTTCTTTTGCTCTTGGTCTTTAGAGTTGCTAGAAACTTATTTTTGCTTTTGTCTGTGACCGCAAAGCTTTCCATTCCATTTGTGCACTCTATACAAGCTCAAGTCACAACTAGTGCACTGACACAATCACGAGGCTGTGGTTTCCTGTTTTAGCTTGTCTAAAAATCCCATGGTGAAACAAGAGCAATCATGGTTAGTTTTATTATATCAGTTTAATTTGATTGATTGATTTATTGATTGATGAAGTGTTTGTGCTTTATGGTGGGCCTGGTGATAATCTACAGACACTTTTTTCTGTTAAATGAATAATGTGTATCAGAGTTACAGTGTGTATTTGATCAGTGTGGATTTGACATGAAATGTGAAATTTACTAAATTGTAAACTCATAATCTGAAAGTGAAAATATAAAATATATTTTTTTAACTTGATCAGAACTCATAAATACAGAGACGTAAGCATTCACAAGAGGACAGTGACAAAGGCCACTGGAAACATTTGTGGTTTGGGTCGTACCCTAGAAAAGCAAAGAGCAGGCTGGACTCTCTCCATCACCATAACCAGCACTTCAGTCACACATGAAAAGCGCTTCTCACATCCTGTGGCATTTAACAGAATAACTCCAGCACTAAATGACTACAGTACATTTCTACATCAGTCTACTGTAATGATGGCTGAGTTCAGAATCACATACTGTACTTTCCTACTGTATAGGACAGATGGAAACAGGATTTCTATGGCACGAATCTTGACAACATTAATGCTTGCTTTTTCTCGTCAACACTAATGATCAAGTAGCCTGAGTGAATTATTAGGCTAAAATTGGATTTATTACTGCTCATCTGTATAGTTTACACACTATACATTTGATTTGTCACAGTTTCATGCCGTTTACATCAACAACAGCTGAACTTTGTCTTCCAGTTTGAGCTTGAACATGTGTGTGTTTACAGTAACTTTTATTATGTGTTATTATGAGCACAATCCCGTCAGTTTATGAATAAGGTCTTACTTCAATCTTACTTAAACATGAACACATCATTTGTGTAGTTTATTGTTATTGTTTGTATTGTTTATGTTGAATTAAATAAGAATAAATATGTGAAGAACCGGTAAGACTTTTTATTTCTAACACAGAGCACAGAATCATAAAAACTATCATCGTCATATAAACTGGACTGATTTTATTAAGTGTAATAATGCTGATACATCCCTGAACACAATCTAGTAATGGAGGTAATGCACACGGGTTAAATATTAAGAAGAATAATTAAAGTTTCACTGAAAAAATAATATAACTCTACTGAAGTTTTCATTAAATTGCTTATTTCTGAAAACTGACCATTGTTTCATCTCATGCCATGTTACAATGAACTGGTCCTGATAAATTCATTTGTGAATAAGTGGTTTTGACGTCCCTTCAGCTATTAGCCACTAGATGGCGCCATTGTTTGTTCATGACTCCCTCTTCAATTTTTATTCATGTTCATAAACGCTACTAAATATTAAATATTTGTTTAATATTTGAAAAAAAGTGATCATTCATGAGTGAACATTTACTTACTAATTTATTTTGAGATATGCAGAGGATCTACAGATACAAACATATGCAGCCTTGAGCTGTTATTAATAAAGTGTTTTTTTGTTTGTTTGTTTTCTTAATGAACACAGTCTTAAAAACATTAATACTGTCCAAAAATAAAATGTATAACCCTAAAGAGTCAGTGGATCATAATGTTCATTTAAAGACAGTTGATTGTAATAGATAATGTGCTGTAAATAAAAGCATGTCCACTCAAACACTATCAGAAATAAGACAGAAAGTAGACTAAGAGCAGTTCATGTGTCAGATGTTGGTGTAGGGATGTTTAGATGTCAGTCGTCTATAAGAGACTTCAGTGTGGACGCAGATCTTTCCAGTCTTACTCGCCTCACACTGATGTTTCTCCACACAATCTGCCTGAAATGATTGACAAGGAGAGAATGGATCAAATAAACTAGTGAAAAACCACATCAGTCCACAATTCATCTTTGATATGGTCAATAAAAGAGTATAAAATAGTACCATCAAAACATTTGCTTTAAGCATCTCAGCACTCATGTCAGAACCTAAAACACACACAAAATGAACCCGATTAATATACTGTAGTAATTTATAGTAAATACTGTAGTGTTTTTGAACTATACTATGGTAAAGGACTTGAATTAATCTGTTGTGGTAATTCTATAGTTTCTGTGGTAATGCAGCAACTATAGTAATGTAACAAACCAACACTGTACTTAACACCACTTTACATCACAGTTTACTATAGTAAAAACCAAAGTATGCTACAGTATTTGTTTCAGTTCATCAGTTCAGTAGTTAATACTATTTTCTGCTGCAGCATTCATTAACAGTTTAGTGAATACTATAATATACAGTACAGTATAATACAATTTACTGTAGAATGGGTCAGAAACACTCCAGTATTTACTATAAATTACTGTATTTTCTCATGCGGAAAAGTCTAATAATTACGATTGGAGTCAAAATGTTAAAATCTAAAAGAACAAATCTTTAAAAAAGCTCTACAGATTCACAGATTTGTTCAAAATGAATGTAAATGTGTCGATGAGCGCTACCTGTAGTTTGAGGACGACAGAAGCAGTAAACACAGATGGAGGACAGGAGTGAGGAGAGGAGAACACACACCGGACACACACTCAACAGCAGCGTCCAGCAGAACACACACTCTGACACTGGAGGAGAAGTGGAGGCGATGGTGGACTCATGTGCAGAAACTGCTGATAAATAAAAACACAAGACTGAACAAACAAATGAAGAGTTTCTGAAGCGTCCATAACATTTAACTTTAGAGGACATCGTCTTATATATTATTTACAGAAATTATATAAGAACAACTTTTCTATTTAAATTATAATGTTTAGATCATTTAATGGCATTAATCAGTTGTTGAAATAATTAATCAAAATTTTTCTTTAATTTTTCACTTTCCATTTGCTTAAACCATGAGTTGAACACAAAATAATATTTAAAACAAACATTTCAGGACTCCCATTAATTTCCATAGTCAGTCAGTGGAAACCAGAAACCACTCAGGTTACCATCATTTATCAAACTATCTGATTCTGTTATGCATTTCTATCTTGAACTAAAAGACAAAACAGGATTGGAGAATTTTAGAGTGAGTGAGTAATAATAGATCAGATTTATTATGGTGAATTCTCCTTACATTAGGATTATTTATATTAGATTTACTTTTCAGACTCACTGAGAAATTCTCAATCACACTGAATTTACCAACATGCATAAAAGCTTTAGATGAGCCACAGCAGGAATTTCTCCTCACCCAGGACAGCTAGTCGAGTTGTTTTGTTCCCATATTCATACACATATTTTGAATTGACGCCGTCTTCATCTATAAATGTCTTTTTCCTTTCCGCACAGTAGTAAAGTCCCTCATCAGAGACACTGACATTCTCTATATGCAGATCATAGGAGTTACTGGAGCTGTTGAGCAGGAAAATGAACCGTGGAAACGTCTCCAGGAAGAGCTTTGGAGGATCAATGAACAGAGATGGCTGATTCTCATGCGAGCAGTTTCTCATCCAGACAATGTGAGATCCAAACGGTAGAGCACAGTCACAGTAGAGAGTGACGCTTTCTCCTGGTTTAACTCTCATGTTCACTTCTGTCCCGAACACTTTCTGCTCTTCACACAGCAAAACACCTGCAGAACAAAGGTGAAAGAATTAACGTCATAAAGAAAACAGCACAACATTTACAACACTAATGAGTGGACTTACACAGAAGAATGACGAATGTTGGTCTCTCCATCTCAGTGACTGCTGAATGTGAGGGTCTTCAGTTGCTCTTATCTGATTGGATGACTCTCTCTGGTGGTGGGATGGGTTTCCTATTCTAAAGGGTTTTGATAAGGACTGGAAATGATCTAGTCTAGTTACCCACAACCAGGTTTAAAAAAAAAGTTTTATATATTTTTTTCCAAAATTGTTGAAAACTGATTGACTGACCGATATACAGTACATGCATATGCATAAGAATGTACACACTTAAGGCATGTCTAGGTGTCAAAACCGCAAATCATTCTAATACATTTGTGTGCTCACTGCAAAAACTGCACACAATGCACATATATAATCACATGGCGGTGGTTTCCTGTGTTTCCTACAAGCAAAGAACTTACCTTAAAGATAAGAAGATTACAAATATGGTCGTCCTGTGTGATAATAATGGGGTCTCATTGGAAAATGCTAAAGATTTCAAACTTGTGTAGTGTTATTATTTTTTATTATTACCACCACTACTAATATTGTCATTCTTATTATAATATAGTATTATACAATTTAACAATACAATTGACAATAATGATGAGGATGATTATTATTATTTGGATGGATGGATGGATGGATGGATGGATGGATAGATGGATGGATGGATGGATGGATGGATGGATGGATGGATGGATGGATGGATGGATGGATGGATGGATGGATGGATGGACAAACAGATGGACAGACGGACGGACGGATAGATGCAGACATGCACACACTGATTGTCGCAAAGTTGCCGGATACATTTGTGGTTTGACCTCACTTTTCTAAAAAAAAAAAAAACTAAAGAGCAGGTCTGAGTGTCTTCACTAGAAACGCTTCTTAAAAACAACGCTGCTTTCACACGTACACAACAAGCATCCTCTTACATCCTGTGGCAGCTGAGGTCCACTTTATCACTGAGTTTACTTTAATCTGTTGCACAATAAATGAAATTGGCCTGATGCATTGCAAATATCAAACAAAAGCATTTTGCAAACAGAACGACAAGTTTAAAGATCAACGAAGGCGAATTTGAAAGATTTTTGCTGTGCATTAATAATTATTTGATAAATTAAATCACAGACCTCTACAACTAACTTGGTGTTTAAAACACTCAGAATGATTGTTGTGGGACCCTGTGAAACTACCGAAAACAAAATCTCTAAAACTCTTCTAGGGCCTGTTAGAAATGAACACTTTTTGTTAAATTATTGAATCTGCTTTTATCACTTAACTGGAAACCAGTGTTGCCAGATCTAGCTGACTGATTCCAGCCCAAAAACTATCCAAAACCCGTCGAAATGCAAAAAAAAGGAAAACACAAAAGGTGGGAGCGGGTTTGTGATGGTCGTGAAAAGTACAATAAGTGCAGGGCGGTGGTTGTGACGGTCGCGGGAAACAATTTATACCCGCACAATATATATATATATGTGACTACCCAATGGACAAAAGACACTCGGTATTTTAGATTCTAAACACTTCCATCTTCATGCTTACTTGAACTCTTGGGTCACAAAGGCCTGAGAACTGAATTTCTGTCCCCCATGTGGTGAACCTTTAAGTTTAAAATTAAACTGCAGTTATAATGCTATAGTTATACAACCAAAGTCTCTTGTTTAAACCTACTTTGTACTTTTAATTTGTATTTATTTATATGTTTATTTACCTGTACATTGATTCATCTCTTGAAACCGGAATAAGAGTAAGAAAATAGGCCAACGAATGGCAATAAGTTGGTAGAGCTCAGCTCCACAGGTGCCGGTGATTAATCATTAGTAGAGTATATAACCAGCACAGGCAGAGCAAGCACTTACACTTTTTCACTTCAGAGCCTCTCATGAGACTGAACAGATAATCTGCTGAGCTGTTCCAGAGCAGTGACTCCACCAGTGCGGAAGTATTAAACTGGGTTCCTTTCCTATCCCTGGGCATTTCACTGGCAGCTAAAAGAGCATTTCATACTAAAGGAGCAGATGCACTAAGAGAGCAACACGGTCGAGCATCATGTCTTTTTAAAGATGTTGTTCCAACAATGCACTTCTGGATGTGGTGGTTAACCGCCACCCCCACCTCCCCCTCCCCCGGATGACACTGCGAGGGCATGACTGTTCCACAACCTTCAGGCCCACAGACCCATCACTCCTCCACAGTGAGCTCAATCCAAGCTTCCAGTTAGTGTGACAGTGTATGTCTTTGGATGGCAGCGCTCTCATTGGATGACACCTGAGACCAGATGTCCTTCACTGCATCTGAGGGTGGACTAACATGTTCAAATGACAATTCGGACCAGCTGCTACTATTTAAGGTTGTCAGTGAGGTCTTGGATTTGGAGTCGGACATGTTAGCTGTGATAACCCAGGCTGCTTCGGTGGGCTCTAGATGGCTTGTCCCCTAGCCCAACCTCCAGACCAATTAGATAGGTGTAACATGGGGACCAAAAAGAAGTTCAAACTTTACAAGCACCCTGTCCCCTTCCTTCCAGCAGTGCACAGTGAGCTCAAAGAGGTTTGAAGGGAATCTTGTTCTGCCCGGTCCTCATGCACTCCCACCCTCACCACCCTTGATGATGAAGCCGACAGGGGGTACGAAGCGATCACCCCAGGTGAAGTGCGCTATCGCTGTCAATCTTTGCCTGCTTCACCCTATTTACCCACAAATAAAACTGCAATAACATTCTATTAAGTCTATAATCCACTTTGCTATGTCAGACTAGTGTTTCTGCAATATGGGGAATGGTTTTTGTTGTGGATTTTGGGGTTAAGACAATATTTTAGAAACTCCATCAGTGCCGCCTATTTATTTTATTAGACCCAAACAAACACACAAACACATACATGCGTACATACATACTTAAACATTATCTACTTAATCATTTCAAAATAACAACAATAGTGAATGTGTTCCTCACATAAATGTTCCTTGATCTTTAATACAACATTTATAATTTGCCAACAAACAAGTCACTCAATCAGTTCACAACATGAATTGATAAAACACATTCACTTGTTTTACAGCAGTAAATATAAATGAAATATACAAATGTGGAGTGTTTATAATTTTTGAGAATATTCGCAGATTTTTCACATTGGCAAGCCCTTATCGCCCCCTTTAGGCCACTAGTAAAACTAAACAAACTGATGGTACTGACCACCAAAATGAGACAAGTATATGAAC